AATGTAAGGCGCGAAGACGATCCCATCAATTCAATCGAAGCTAAGCCCAACGAAGCGTGGCCCTAAAAAAATAACAAGCGCAGAGAGGAGGATGCAAACAGCAGCATCGATACAAATCACAGAAAGCTGTCGTCGTTAGGTCACCTCCACTCAGCGTGGTTCGAGTGGTACGTACGTGGCCCGCGCTTATGAAGCTCCCACGGTGAGAAGCAAAAGAGTCGAACTCGTAGATGATCGCTTCTTTTTTGAAGCTGTGTCTTGAAACCGGCTTTACACTGGGAGAGAGAGTGCCGACGTACCGCAACGACGTTTTGGCGCTCATCTTTAAGACAAAGGATAATATCTCAGCGTTCCTCTGCGAGCGCAGTACCAATCCGAAAGGCTCCAATGCTGTGATATAGCAGATGACCGGCAATTTTCAGCGCCACTGTAATCTTCCTCTGGTCTGGCGCGATAGTTGACCCAGCTCCTCGCTTAACACATTAAATTTTTGAAACATTGCAAGGCATGACTGGTATACTCCCATACAGCTCATTATACTATTCATAAGTTCATGATCATCGGATCATATATGCACGTATAAAAGCTGAAAATAGCTGGGTGGTACATTTCGATACATTGATAAATACAACGTACAAAATGTGTACCTATTGTACTAAACGAATGAGGGTCGAATTTTTCGCGGTATGGATTATATGATGTCGCATATCCTTTTGCCGAGTATGTGTTCTAGCAAACCCTGACGCAAGTGTGGTGGAGTGGTGATCGTTCGTTTCGCAAGACGATCCCGACTCTACAATGGCGCCCGGACGACCGAATAAAGGAGAGGTTACTCCAATTCCGTGCTATGTGTTCTCTTGCTCACCCTGTGTACCTGCCGGTGGGGCGGGCTGCGCTCTTCTTGGTAGAATTGAGCTGAAGCTGAACTTGACCGTTTTGGGGATAAGGGTTGATCGGGTGGAAATTCTTCACCCGGTCAAACGTGGCGGTGGATCGAATGAGAATTCTTTACTCGATCGCGTGTATACTTGGGCGCTCTCCCAAAGTCGCCTGTATTCAGGAGTGATGTTTGATCCGCGAGCCTTCTGACCACTTGAGCCGTCCCGCGATCATGAATCTGAACCGTAAGGTTCACTGCGTCTGATCGCAGTTGGGGGAGGGGTGGGGTGAGAAGAAATGTTCTGCCTGGTCAAACAAGCCAAGGGCGAAGTTTGCGGAGACGTGGGTCAATCTCTTTTCAACGGGAGACCAAAGTTCCTGCCCTGGAGAAGTCGAAGCGTGCCTTCGTTGCAAATTCAATTCTGTTTGATGTCAACCAACCAAATCCAAAACCTATGACCATGCCTGTTCGCTAGACCTCGGTTGCGTATCGCCTGTCTATGTCATTCAACTCTTGCATCACGTGGTCTACAGCATATACTCGGGTGACGGATCGCTCCGTAGCGGATCTCTCGGTAGTGGATCGCTCGGATAGTGGATCGCTCGGGGTGGATCGCTTGGGTAGTGATCACGGTATGTGGTCCACACCAATTATGTGTCCACACAATCAATCGTTACACACCCAGGATGGATCGTGATCAATCTCTCGAGTCTTTGATCGGGCATCCACCGTCGAATCGCCGTCACTTCTGAGACCTCGCATGTTTGATGATCTTGACGATCCACTCCCCCGGCCTGCTTCCATATTCACCTCTCTTCCATTGTCGTTATCGGTTCAGTAATCCGGATGGTGTTCACCTCTTGAGTGATTTGGTCCTTTTAACTTGGTGATCCAAGCCCTTGATCGCGGATCGTGATCGTTCAGTCGTCGATCCTTGACCATACTCCTTCTTGACCGTTAAGTAGACCAATCCGCATAACTTCAACCGTCTTTTTCTGCCACTCAGTCGTTCTATTCCATCATTCATGCCAACGGGCCCATCTCCGAGCGCGCTCCACCGATCAAATTGATCTCGCACTTAATGCGGTTGGCACGATCCCCACTTTCCATCATTATTATTCTGCGCTTCTCCACACAAGTTATTCCTTACGTGGGCATTTATACAAAATATCAGCATGTATGTTGATCCTCACTGCATATTACAACGCAGTAATGATTGGCAGTATGATAAGCTGACAATAGCCAAAGCGACAATATCTCAAAAATGACGACGTGGGCCCGTTACATGTCATCGAAACCAAAAAGGTCAATGCGAGCGCTATATATATATAACAATCATCACTAGTTACATTGCTAAGTAAGTGTTCAAGGAATGTCACACATGAGTCTAATATAGTGCACCGCTCCACTTATTGGTTGATACGGGCCATAATGCCAACCAACTTTGCCACCAGGTGCTGCCAGATGTGCGCATTGGGTGGCTAGCAAGTAGCCAAATTTGATTTTTTGTAGTCTAGAGAAAGATTATAAAGATGCATTTTCTGAGACACAAACTACAGACTAGACACATTTATGCTTTTTCCTGTATCTAAATGTCTTTCTAGAAAAGAGTAGTCGTTAATAGCGTAACAAGTGAACGCGGGGTTGCGAGGTATATGTTACAAGCATACGTATCGTTAACTACAGATGCGCTAAAAGGGTGTGCGAAATTGATTAAGATTGCGGGTGCCGACTTTCGTTTGTAGGGCTATCGTCTAGGCATATTATGGCGAAGTTCGAGCGAAGTGGCAAAATTGATCCTTCAAGAATGAAGGAGTCACCTTGATGAGCAGCACCGATGGTGATTGTTTGACTTAACAGTAGTGAGGCAGACATCACAAGCGCAACAACTGGTGAAAGAAGTCTTTTACCACTATCAGTGCAGTCTTCTGTGCAGCACATGCCTACCATGAAGAGAGTTAGGTAGCTTGCGCCAGACGTAAGTAATGTTGTTTGCACTTGTGCAGAGGGTGTAGGAAGTAACAGTAAAATGCAATCAGCGATAACTGCTCTTGTTTGTCAACCCTACAGTATGCATTTCACCGCCGCGGTAACTTGACCAAACCAAGTCGCTCATGGCGTGCGTTCAGTCCACCCATCGTCACGTATCGGTTTCGGATGGCGTCCGTATCGCCTAATTCCACATATCACGACATCTTGCTGACACCACATGGTGACCGTGTCCCCTCGTCTCATCTTTCAAATCGTCTCGTATCAGCCAGTCAGGTGAGGTCGAAACTTACATGTAACAGGTCTTGCACTTGAACCTCAAAACTCGGGGACCTGTCAGAGACGATAGATTCCTACATCTTATATAAGGTATTGCTGGTCACTAATTCGTCCGTAATATACCTCACTTCTACTAAAAAAACTACATCATATATTGTGTTAGTACAAGCGTCCTGTGCCTTGGTACACTGGGTGGATTTACGCTTTGTTTGCCGACGCTGTTTTTCTTCTCGTCGGTTGCAGATCGACAAAGAAGTTGCAAGTTTTTAGGACAAACAAACTAAGTGGATGATAAAAGTGACGTGGACAAGTCCAAACGATTACGGGTACGTGTAATTTGGCTCGTATTAACCATCTTGTAGCATGCCTCATAGAATCACTTAGATTTGGATAGGTACTCAATGTTTATTTTTGAATATCTTAGTGCTATTTATCTGCTTTATAAGATTTGCGAATTGTGTAAAATTACGGAAGAAAGTATAAGTCAGTATGATGATTCGAATATTGACACGTCCGATCAGGTTGCTTAAGCTGTATTCTACACGATCAATCAACCAAAATGCAGGTGTGAGTTGATGCAGAATGATTGTCCTGAGACTGGATCCGGCCCTTGTTGTGTCATGATCATTGACAAGTCCTTCTATTACAGCATGCATACTCGGTAGAAGCAGGCTTATGCATACTGTGACATTGAAAACAGATCACGCATAGCACCGAATAGCCTTCCACAAGAGCTACACATACGCATGGAAACGAAACCGTCTGTCCGTGCTGTCGGACGCAGAGAGCTTGCTGGAAGGTGAAGCAAAGAATCCATCTTGATGTATGTTTTTTATGGCCAGAGGCTTCACATCGAATGCGACCACTCAATGGTACTGTCACAGCGATCCGACTGAGTCCGGGGGACGTGCACGCACGTTGTCCTGTACATTGACACTAACCGAAAAGCTCGAATGGTAAAGTGATCGACGAGGAGGAGGGAGGGTAGTTTCTTTACTGCGCTGTGTCGCTAGCGATCTGGTAGAGGCCAAGACTGCTCGTTCAAAGGTCATGCAATGCCTGGAGCGCGCAGCAGATACCGCGCCAAGCACATGACGTCTGACGGAGGCTGCAGAGACGCAGACAAGCTGCCGACTACATTTCGATCCCTTTGTTCGGCATATCTACACAGTGGTCTTGTAAGCGCGACGGGGTCCGCAAAAGCGTCCCCACACTTTGCTCGCTACCTGATGTATCCGAAAGCTGTGGTTGAACTGCTGCAAGTCGAGCATGGGACTGCATGCCCGCGTTGAGGCTTATAAGTAGAAGCCCACCCTCACTGAGCGCCAAGTAGCCACACAGTGCGCAGACTCCATCCGCTAGAGCATGTCCGTAACATGTGTTTGTGACGCATGTGTGCACGTCCGTCCTGCACAGTTGCACCGCAAGAAAACAAAACACGATCTTCTACAGTAACGTTGACGCAGTAGCTCTTCTATTTGCTGTAAACCCGCGTCACCAATACACCTCACCGGCTGCATCATCACTCGTCGCGAGAGTGGATCAAAAAGTGCCGATGGGTTTTGTATCCGCAAACGTCCAGCTCGGCAAGTTCCTCAACCGTCGGACAGTAGTATCCCCCCGTCAGTCTGTCTGTCTGTCGGTCGGTCGAACCGTCCGTCGAACCGTCCGTCGAACCGTCTGGCCGTCTTCTGCCTACATTTCTAACTCATGGATAAGGGAACCCATCTGTCGCCGTTTTTAATTACAGGATAGCAGACGCCCCCCCCTTCCGCGGTTCTTACTTCTGGGCAGCTCCCCAACCCACGTCCTGACACGCTCAGCCCCACTGCCTCTTCGTCCATTCCACGCGATGAAGGCGCTGCGGACGGCCGTGTCCGGCTCGCGCGTGCGCTTCACGCAGGACGGCTTCGACCTGGACCTGACGTACATCACGCCGAGGCTCATCGCCATGGGCTATCCTGCCTCGGGCGTGGAGAAGACGTACCGCAACGACATCAACCAAGTCGCGAGTCTGCTCAACGCGCGGCACCCGAGCGCCTACCGCGTGTACAACCTGAGCGAACGGCATTACGACTATGCAAAGTTCGAGGACCGCGTGAGCGAGTGCGGCTTTCCCGACCACCACCCGCCGCCGCTGCAGCTGTTGCTCGACATAATGAACGACATGATTGAGTGGGTGGCCAAGAGCGACAAGCACGTGGTCGTCGTGCACTGCCTCGCTGGCAAGGGCCGCACGGGCGTCGTGTGCTCGTGCTACTTGCTGCTGACAGGGCACTATGGCAGCGTGTTTAAGCTGCGCAAAGAGCGCGAACTGCGCGAGTTGGCGAACTCGAGCATCCGCGACTTTTGGCAAGCGCGCGGCCAAGGCGTGCGGTTTCCGAGCCAGGCTTTGTATATTTATTACTTTATCAAAGTGCTGAGGCGACAGGGCCGTCGACCGGCACAGATCCCGCCGTTGCGGCCGGCAAAGAAGATGCTGCTTCGAAGCATTGTGCTCAATGGCGTGCCGGACTTTGAAGCGCAGCCACGAGGTGGGTGCACTCCCTTTTTGCAAGTCCTGCCAGCGCCGTCGCAGCACTTTAAGCCGCAGTTGCTGTACAACAGCTCGTGGCATCATCCAAAGTTTGAAACGTACTTGGCCGACCCGCTTGGGTCGATTATGTTTGAGGTACGGGGCAGTAGATCGACGACGACGGGAGGCTTGCAAGCTGTGTGCTGATGGGTTTGTCTGCTGCAGGTCAACACCGAGGTGCAAGGCGATGTGACGGTGCGGTGTTTCCACGCCAATATCACGAACATCCTGGGCAGGCACATGGTCAAGATGTTCCATTTCACGTTCCACACCGACTTTTTCCACAATTACGTAGGTCTTGTCTAGCTGCTTTGATGTGATGGGTGTCATGTGTGCGAAAGGTTGTGCGATGACTGACGATGATGCTGTGCATATGCGATTGCGGGACGAGTAGAGCAACCAGTATCGACTGCCGAAGGCCGAGGTGGATGAGGCTACTGGCAACCAGCGATACCCGGAAAACTTCGAAGTGGTTTGCAACGTCACGATGTTGGACCCAAATCAAAGCGCGAAACCACCGCGGCCGTCGATTGTGCGTTCGGGGAGTAGTAACAATCTGTGCAATGAAATACCGGAGCAAGCGAAAGTTGTGTATCCTCCGCCAATGACGCAACAGCGCCGAATGACGTTGCCGTCCCACCAAGACATGTTTGACGAGCGACGGACGCGATCGCAAACTTCTTCGCAGCAAGATGAGTCAACGCCTAATATGCAAGGTTGGTTGTACAAGCAGGGCGGTTTCGTGAAGAATTGGAAGAAACGATGGTTTGTCGCGCGGGAGGGAAAGATGATGTACTATCACGGCAATTCGGACGCTACGCCACTGGGAGTCGTGAACTTGCGGCGCGTGACTGTGGAGACTTGCGATCCGCATGAAGTCAACGCGCGGAACAAGTGCTTGCACTTTTTCAAGATCATACCTCCAAGTGCTGGCCAGCGCACCTACTTTTTTGGTGCTGAATCCGAGCAGGAATTAGTGACTTGGGTCAATGTGGTAGGTGCGCAATCCGCTTACGGCATCATCTATAGTGCGGTGCCACGGCGGCCTCAGCGCAGCATTACGATCGTTACACGTGCATCGTACGAGCATGAACACCAGACGCCGAACGGTGAAGCAGGGCAGAGATGCCAGCCGAACACTGACGGTAACGAGAACGACCGTGTGAGCGACGCAAGGCCGTCGCTGCTGTCCACGATCGCAGCTGCACCTAGGGCCGCCTTCGACACGCTCAAGGGTGTCCGTCGGCCATCGCAACACCAGGCCACAGACATTCCGTTTCACCCGCCACCTCGCGAAGACACCTTTTGGCGCGATGCAGTGGGTATGGGACCATCAGCGTTTACCAAAGCCAAGGAACGTGGAAGCATGATGGGTAGATTTTTCGGAGACTTGCGTTCACTGTCGTTCTCGGACTACGACGACCACGAGAAAGATCAGTCGCCACCGGCCTCAGCTGTTCCCAAATGCGTGCCAGCTGCACCCGTAGCTGATCTCACGAATACTCTCTCGACACGAGAGCAGGCGTCGCTGTTACAAGAAGTCAGCAAATATGACACGGGGATTTACGTTTACTCGGCGGATGAACTGCAAGAGGCTACAAGACTACAGCAATACATGCGCACGACCTGCGGTGCGCGCTCTTTCAGCGATGGCGATCCTGACTGCGATCCGAAGTCGGCGGTCTCGGTCGCTTACGAGCTCAAAGCTTCGCCTCCAGGCACACTTAGCCACCAGCTGCATTACTACGTGATGCAGAATCGAATGGGTGACGCCGAGCAGCTGCTTACCGAGCTTGTGCTTACGAAATTTCCTGGGCTCATCGACGCCATGGACCACGACCCTCTGGCGTTCACTCGGCTGATCGCCAGTGGAGACGTAGCACTTGCTGGCTATGAAGAGCAGGATGGTGCAAGTTATACAGCTGGAAACGACTTCAAAGGCAATCATCGCGCTGTTTTTCTCTAGACCTGTATTTGCTGATTCGGGGCACTTCTTTGGTGCAAAGCACTTCTACTCAGTAGCTGGACCCGGCGACTTGTAAGCGATCTACGTGTAACAATACCACTTTCGATGGCTGCCTCTTGTTGTAAGAAAAGGGAATGCACCTGACGAGCAGTTGAACAGCACATGACAATGCACAGCTCGATGTTCACGCTTGCACGACCCTGGCAAAGCTACGGATACGGTTGTTTATACCTGGAAATGCGTCAGGGTGCGACATCGGACAACCACAAGACCAATCACTCATTCAAAGGCCCGTCGCCAAGGTGGCAACTTTGCAACTAGTTTCGACAAGTGGTGGGTCGAATGCCGTACAATAAGATCGCATGACGCAGCAGCTGCACGTCGAAGCCCGTGAGACCTAGTGATTGCGACTCACGAGTCTACTTGTGTCGATGTACTTGACATGACATGACGGCTCTTGTGTGTGGCCGCCTCGTTCCTCGATCTTCCAGGTTTAGAAGCTATTCGCTCTCTAGCGATTGCCACGATGCCAAAAGAAATACGAACGCATTGCACGCACCGCTGTGATGTAGAAAATGTACGACCTTAACGCATGGGGTCAGCTCATGATCGGTTCTCATGGCTGTTTGTCGCACGGATCGGCAAACAAGACACACCAAATGGATCCCCCAGTGCGTTGTGTTCAAGACGCATTGACATTATCTTGTAGATGGGTTTGTAGCTCATACAGATACCACGAGCTGTAGCGTAGCAGCGACAGATAATGCGACTGCGACCACGGCCAGTGCCAGCAATAGAATGAGGCGTGTTCGTTCCTTACGGCCGGAGCGCCAAGGCGCAAGCTGTATGTAGAATACCAGCGGAAACAGGTAACACAGCATCAGCAAGATGCTGGCCCCCACAAACGAAAATACCACTTGCAGTCCTGGCACACGCAAGGCACAAAGAATCTGTGCACCCAGTAGCACCACGGTCACAACAGCTTGCACGGATTGGGAGACACGTCGGGGTTCTCGCCCTCGCTCGTCATCCACTTTTTTCTCAACACTTGGAGAAGTACAGACCGCAATCATTTCGAGCACCAGCGATCGAAGCGGGTGAAACAATAGTGGAAATGACAGCAGGATCGTCAATAGAACAGCGACGCGAGGCACTGCCATGATCCGGTCACTCGAGAGGTTGAGCAGGATGTTGCCCTGCGTTTGGCGTCCGTAGATCCGCGCGGCGCAGACACCAAAAATCGCGTAGAGCAACACACATGCACTGACCGCCAGAGCGAGATACATCCGCATCGTTTTTCTCGCGTCGCGCAAGATCGGAACAGCTACGAAAGCTTTGGCGCTGCCACGGGCGTCGACTTCCTCGTCACACACTTCCTGCCTTCTCGTCCCTTCCGCTGCCACAAGTTGTACGAGCAGCGGGATCACATTCAAATGAAGCATAAAGGTGAAGTTGTAAATGCCCGCCACTTCCGAGATGCGCCAGAACAAGGGTGTTTCGCGCTCTGGAACAGATGCGAATGCATCAACTTGGTCAGCTTCACCCCCACCGCCGACCAGAGCGCGGTAGGCGACGGCACCGACCAGATAGAGCGAAAAGGCCACGCCAAAGTACGACGAGTAGCGCAACGTCGAAATGTCACTCAGACACCCCAACGGCAAAACCAGTACCAGCACGACCAGCCACACTACGATCGCCACTGCGTGTTGCTGCTCGTCCAGCGTTTGCTGGTCGAAACCAGCAACGACCGCCGCCAACACTGTTGGTGCCATGTCCTTTACCACACAGACGCAGCCGACACACGCCCCAAACACGGCAAAAGCCGTCAAGGTCCCCGTCAAGCGCGCCAGCGATTTGCCACCCGCTTTCTCCGCCAGATGCTGATACGTCTCGAGACGCTGCCGCACTCCACTCGCTGTGCTTTCGATTGCCATCGAAACCTGCAGGTCGATGAGTGTATCCGCTGTGTAACCCATCGCAAGTCCCACGCAGCACAGCACGGAAGTCGCCGGAATCGGCGACAACAGCACAAACGTATAGGGCACTGCCAACGTACCCGCACCAATGGCCGACATGAGGAGCGTGAACGGCACCGCGCAATTGCGGCCCAACTGGCGGCAAAGAGACAGCAGAGACGCTGCCGGTTGTTGACCGAACGATCGCAAGACGGACGTTCCGAGTTCCGCTTGTTCGGACGTCGACTCGACATCGAATGCGGTGGCGGCGACAACGGGTACAGGTTTTGTACCGGGGGACGCCCGACGCAGACGTTGGACGTGCGTACTGTACGAGATCTGCTTGGGGGATGGAGGAAGCAGGTGGGACGTCTCATCTGACACGGCCATTTGCTCGGCAGTACGAATGGAGAGTGTGGTCGCTGCCGACTGTTGGTGCGGATGGAAAATGACGTTGTGCGCCTGCAAAGCGGACGTGGTGCTGTGTGTGTGTACGTGCGCGAGTTTTGTGGACCACGACACAACAACCCGCGACTGCAAATGGTGTTGGGCGATGATGACGGCGGACCGCTGCGACTGCTGTGTCGTGTTGTACGTCGCTGGACTACTGTCTGCTGTTTTGGTAGCTACGATTGGGATCTCGGGCTCAGCGACTGTTCGACAGTCGTTGGGTCGTCCAGAGCGACGTACGAGTCATCGGCTCGCTTGCTAATAAAGTCGGTCTGGCCTGCTACTGCCATCGAGAGACTGGCTGGACACATGTGCGGGTTGGATCGAGGGATACAGCTTTTGGCCTCGAATGGTCCGATGCGCGTCTTTTTCTCGGCGCAGAACTGGTCGATGTGCCCTATGCTGCTGCTGTGTATCGCTCGTGTTACTGTCTGCTCCTTACGTGATCAAGTGAGATCGTCATAAGTGGAAGTGATACGACACAACTCATCTCATGCTGCGAACAAACTGAGCACTCACATTGACGTCCGGCTCTTCCACGAAGGATCGACGACGTCCGATAGTACGCCGGCCCAAAGGGATCTGTGAACACGTGCGCTTGTGTGGAGGGTGGGAGCCAACTTCAATGCAGGATGAACTCTTTGAATTGTGGAAGCTCGTGAGGTCGCAGGCGTCGGAGACGGGTATCGCCATGGTGCTGTCTGCGACTGGCGTCTATCGCACTCAGACATTTGCAATCTGAAGTGGTTCTTTTTCGAGCAGAAGAACGTTGCAAGCCGCACGTAGCATGAGGGATCGTACGGCGGGTTCGTTCGACCAGACTGCACACAGGTTGCCTGAACGTCCACTTGTTCTAGGATCTCTGGGATAGCGCAGTACATTGCGCTTCTGCTGGATGACTGCTGATGCCGATAAGCACGCTAAAACTATTCGGAAGACAGTTTGGTAGAAACGATGTATCGCGTCAGTACGTTGTGGCGACACTGTGTCGTTATTCTACGACTACTACTACACTCACCTTTCTCTATCAGAGACAACTTTGTGCCCAATTTTTACAGCGTGTCGTATAAAAAGTCTCTTGTAGAGAATCTGAAAGGAAGAAGTTGCAAGATATTTTTCAAGCGTGACCCGCCGATTATAATGAAATGTAACGTTTTCTGCTATATGAAGTCTCTCACGTCAAGCTGTTTCGACCTAGTGTGCCGGTTCTTGCGAATAACCGACGACATCTTATCCAGATCTGATTGTATGACTTGCGTGTCCTCATCTGAGCGTATGAAGTTCGAACGCAAAAGCAGGCAGCACTCTAATGCTTCTTTTGCACTGACAGGCGCTTGATCTTCATCGCTTTCGACTTCCGCGGGCTCCACTTCTGCTTCAATCAGAGCTTCTTGTTCTTCGTGAATCTGCTCGGGGGTCCTCGATTTCGACATAATGATCCAAGCTAACGGTAACATCAAGCTTTTGAAACATATCAGCCAGATCGCAGCAGTCTTGTTGGAAGGCGAGGCTGGACTGTCGACAGTCGTTTTGTGCACGCAAATCCGCAACCTGTGGCGCTTCGATGATCCCACTATTGATCCAGCAACTTCGAATGATATCCCCGCCAATACTCTTCCAGATCTCAGCTGCACACTCAATGGCTTCTGGGACATTAAGTCTGCGTTCCATGTTTGCTTCGATCAGATCCATGCGCCATCGCATATAAAGTTTCTTGTAGCGAGCTTTAAACGATCGGATGATAACCATATAACATATGTGTAGGTGAAGAGATTAATGTAGATTTGAGACGCATATATATAAACCATGAGATGAATGCTACCCGCATCGAGCGGCTGGATAGCGGAAGTCATGCTAGGCGAAAAAATACCGCCTTGACGTTGTTGAGTTCTCGTTAGACCTTGTGACTGGAAGCATTATCGAGAAGTAGCAGGACTTTGCGACCATGCATTCGAACATTAAATTGATGCAGCCACTTATCAAAGATAACAACAGTCATCCAGGCGTTTGAGTTTGCAGCGTATACGATGTCACGCTTCTCGATCTCCACACCTTTAAAGCACCTTGTCTTTTTGAACTTCCCGATGATCATGGGCTCCAGCTTTTCAGAGCCACTTGCGTTTTAGCACAGAGCAACTGTTACGCGTGGCTTTATGCTCTTCTTGCCGTTGTTTTGAACCGTGGATAGGGTTTTGTTCGGTGGCAAGTCGTAAAATAATGCTGTCTCATTAAAATTAAACACACCACTCAGAGAATATTGTTCAATCAGAGATCGGATCCCAGACTTTGCTGCTTGCACAATCCTCGATACATAAGCTCACGCTCTGGCCGGCAAACGGCGGCTTTTGATGTTGTTCCGCTTCTTGAAACTCTGGAGCCAGCCTTTGGAAAGCTTGAGATCGTGTTCTTCGATATCATGGCTCACTCGCAGTCGTTCTGCTTTCTCCAGGATCAGATCTTTCGATAACCCGTCACTCTCGCGCTCGAGAACGAATTTCAGCAGCTCCTTCTCGAACTCAGGATGCTTTACACGTCGGTTCTTTTATACATTAGGGTTGAAGCCCTCAAAGTCGTTTTCTTTCATGGCCATGAGCCGATGCGCCGTTGATTTACTAATGCTGTGCTAGAACTGAATGCTCACATAAGTATGCGCTTTGTTAGGCGGATGTTTGGGCGTTCTTTGTAGTGTTGAAAGACCTCGTACTTCTGCTCTAGAGAGAGGGATACTCGCTTTGTTGAACTCATTGGTTGCACGGGCTTGATGTTCTTGGGTAGACGTGTTGTATCAGTGGTGTAGTCGAGTATTTACGAAAATTAACTTTTATTTCTCCCTATCTAATGCCTTACGAAGTTATGAAATTTCGTCTTCTGTATCTGTCGTCATGACGCCATCAGTAGTATGGGCCTCATAAGCTCGCCTATTATGTCATGCTCTATGTCTTTCCCTAGGTCACGTCTGTGGTTCTATGACGTTGCTGAATACATTTAAGGCAAATCTTCGGCTAGAACAACTGTCGCATCATATGCCACGTATCTCTTTCAGCATTAGAAGTAGGGGTAATGAGTCATATAAAGAGGGTTTTCACCTCAAATGGGCGAGTGTTTTTCGTGTCTTATATCGTACTCGCTTATGAAGAGAATGGTATACAAAATCCTATATAGTTCGAAATGCTCGGCGACACTATGACCCTCATATAGAGGGTGTCTCTTATAGAAAGTTTCTTATGGAGAGGGGTGAGTGTAAATATGGCACACGCACTTTGAGACTTCAGTCTCCTCACGCAACCAGTCATTATACGTGGCTGTTTGGTCGCAACTCTGCCTTCTCATTGCGCGCCCTGGCCGTGTCTAGACCAAAAAGGGTCAATTCGCGAGTCAAAATTGGCGCGCTGTATTCAATAGGGAGCCGCTTTTCACGACTCACTTTGCGCCAACCACTACTCACCCTCCATTTTCGAAAACCCTGTCTACTTTTCTCGCGCTATAATTGGCTGATTGTAAAGTGACGAAAAAATTAAAGAAGCGTAAATTTTCACGCGGGTTCATCATATCGCTGCAAAGTCGGACATGTATTTAAACGCTTTTTAGTTTTACTGTACAATGGTTGACTCCCCCCAAGCGCTACCACGTCCAGGAACTGATCCTTTACTTTTGGTGGGTATCCGAAGTGCTTCCATTCGACCTGAGCCCCCAAGAGCATTTAAATACTACCAGTGCAGTCACTGCGGGAGTTGGAAGAGGTTGCTGACATTTTCTTCTGTTGTGTCCCGTTTCTTCGCAATTACCGCTGCACACGCTTTCTTGCAGTCGGGTCGTGTCGAAGTACTTCGAGCTGTTGCTCGATCAGTTCGAGTCGCAATACAGGTAAAGCCTCGAGAATGGCACGCACAGATCGAGATGCACTGCGCAGAAGGGGCAGATTGCCCGGCCGTTTGGCATTACCAGCCCTGAGTAATGGCGTGCGAGCTTGCTACTAATAGCGTGACCGCACGGGTTGAATACACACTCAGGAATTGCATGCTGCTCTTCTGCGGACTGCAGCTGAGAATTCTCTTTCAGCAGCAACTGCACAAGCGATCCTGGTGTCCTACACAGCGGACACGTGTGCGAGCTGGCAATGCGCTTTTCAAATCCAAACACATGTCCACACGCTGGAAACACGTGAGGAATCTCGTCTAGCGGAACCTCTTCGCCAGAATCCGCACGGGCGAACCGTAGCGAGTGCAGTTGAACAGGACACTGAACGTTAAGCTGCTCGAGCTGCGTACTGATCGAAGACAGCGTCGAGCGACTGTAGACCACTGGCGCCTCCAAGAGCTCACTATTCTCTGCTTCAGCTTCAAGCTCCGAGCGATAGCTTGTCTGAAACTGAACCTGGACGCCGCCCAGGTCAATGATAGCACCGTCTGTCAACATCGGCGGCAGACATTTCGCATCGCCTGTCGGACGATTAAATGCACCGCTGCGCGATCGCAGTGCGTCGTGATAGCGACGGCGATCGACGCCATTTGCATTCGGTCGAATCAACGACGACACTTTCTCGTCCACCGCACGCGATTCAATCGCAAACAAACTGCCATTCACAGATACCTCGAGCCACTGCTTCTGTTCAGGAAGCCACACGCGCACTCCATTTTTCGTAAGCCCATCGAGCGGCAGCTCGCTCGCGTCCTGTACATCTAGCTCAAAGTGCTCCAGCCGTCCGTCTTTCTTCGTCTCCTCAATATAGTGTCTCACACCACCACTGGTCACGCGGTCGTGACGCTTTTCCGTGCAGCAGCGATCGTCCGTCTCGTCCCTCGCATCGTCTCCTCTCCCGTTCGCAATCAACGTCTGCACCACACACGTGTGGTCGATGCTCACACGTTTGCACCACGTCCTGCACCGGGCACAATACTTCAGTGCATGACCTGCCGTGCTCATGCGTCGCGCAGCGTCAAAGCCACCCGCAAAGATGCGGCACTCAAACGGCGGCTCCCGGGAGCACACAATCCTCGCGGCGTACCTCGAAATAGTCCCCGACGCTCCCACGCGCGGCCCGGGGATCACAAAGTCGTTCTGACCACAGGGCATGCGGCCAATCTGGAACATGTCGACGCTCGCGTCCGCACGGAACTCTGTGATGCTCGCGAACGCGTCCGTGTCGTTCATCGGAACGCACATCTGGTACACGGCCGCACGATCCACAGCCGTCTTCGTCCCTTCGTCCATCGCTGTCCCTTCTTCCGTCTCGTCCGTCTCGTTCACACGCGCGGCATCGGCTCGTTGCGTCGCCCCAATGCGCTGCATCATACGCGTTGTGGCGCTCTTGAGGTCGGCGGCCGTCGCGTGGCGCGCGCGCACTGGTACAATGTGGTGGAAGCGGTGCAGACGCACACCGTTCGGCCGCGCGCGCTGCCGCAGCGCAAAGTGCGCGTTCGGACTGCCCAGCGGCTTCCAGAGCTGTCCGAGAGACTGCTTGGGGCGCGTCGTGCCACCCGACGACGCGGCGTCGCCGAGTCCGAACGACGGCAGGGGCCGCTCTCGACTGCTGCTGCTGCTGCTGTTACCGTCTGGACGTTGGACCCTATCGACGCGGTAGCTGCTGTAGCCGAGCACTACGAGACGGCCGTACTCCATTGAGACGCCGCGTGCGAGTGAGTGAGTGAGAGCGTCTGGAGAAAGAGAGCGCGCGACTTCGAGACCGAGAGGGCGACGGCTTATGTACGACCCCGTGGAAGAAAAGTGCTTTTTGACGCTTGTTTGTTCTTGTGGTCAGTGTGTGTGTGTAAATATGTGGTCGTTCGTATTGGTGGTAGCTGAGTGAGCGATGAGATGAGATGAGATGAGATGGGGGGGGGGGGGGGACACACTCAGGATAAGGGGCGGCGACGGTGTAAGGCATGTGTTATTTTGGTTCTTGCACTGGCTATGTGCCAGGCGCCACGGGGAATTTCGGATTCCGACGTGTTTGTCGGTGGTTTTTTGATGTGACGAGTCAACGGGCGGGATGGTACGAATGATGGCCAAATGAAGTGCCGCTTGGGTTCGTCCCGTTTTGAATGTGAGGACTTCTTTGCGACACAAGAGCATGCAACGTAGTGATATCGATGACGATCACCAATGAACGTGAAACGATCGCAGTACCAACGGGGCATGGCTTGTTTTCCAGCTTGCGATGTCAGGAATTCACGCTCAAACAAAAGGCTTGGTGTATAAGTGTGCGTGTTCTTGACTCGGTCAATGGCGTCTGCTTCGGCAGGCCGGTAGATCGTTTGCCCTGATGAACGCTCGACATACCGCTGCCTTATGCGCAAACGCACGATGGGATCTTACGGGGAAAATCGACTGTCGTCGGGTCATATCGAACGTTACTGCTTCGTCGACGGCACCAAAGCCTTTTGCTGTCCGCAGCTTGTGAGACATTCCTTGACACTATTGTCATTGTTAAACGAGATGACATGATGGCATTGGTTTCCGACTTTATCAACATCGTTGCGTCATAGCTATCTAACTCAATTGCCACGAAGGGCGGCGTTGCGCAGCACCTCGACTGTGTGCAGGTTTTTAGCCAGGAGGAAGGAGATTAAACATGGAACGATACGATCTGGCCGGAAGTGTGGATACGTTCTGTCGCATTCGCGGCTTAATCGAGTTTCGTACCCATAGATACTATCCACGACCACATTGCACTCGTGTACGTTGAGACAAAGCCATTCGCCAGTGCACATTCCTTGTTAGCTCTTGTGTACACGACAACATTCAACGTGCAGTCATTTCACATTTCTTGTCATGGACGAGGGTTCGTGTTGACGTCGTTTGGAGTTGTGAAAAGTAGTAGTAAAAGTGAGGTATATTGAGGAACGATTAGCGACCAGCAATACGCTTGGAGTTGTGAAAAGAGCAACAGAGGTCGATCTTGGGATCGCTCATGTGGTCCAAACTCGAAACTACTGAATCGATTCCTTTCGTCCACCGCTGAGTTCGGTCTCTCGATTCGGGCACGAGAAACATTCGAAAGGAGAAACATGTGCCGTTGTTACTGACGCAATCTGCAATTAATCCTCTTTTGTAATCAAGATATAAGAAACTTGTCCGAACTACACCGCGCATATGACCACGGGCCGCTCGAGCCCGCATGTTATCGACTTGATCGTTGCTCCTCACGGTTTACGTTGCGTCATGAACAATCAACTGCTCTAACCTACATTTATTTCCTACATGCAACATTTGTAAGATTATTTCGGGATTCCTGCCCATAGCCTAGCAGCACACCCGAAACATCACGTAGCGGCGATTCATTCCAGTGATGACCTCGCAGATTACGATCTAAAGTACATGTCAAGGTCCTGAAAATACGGCATTGCAAAGCGTTGAGCGTACCGTAGGTCAACTCGCTCACAAGGCTATGCACATTTCAGAAACGTAGCTACTCCCGCTGTTCTCTGCTGATCTACTTCTTGAACGAGTATCTGCGCTAGTAGGTTCGGCTTACTCGGCCAACCTTTTCGATCAACTAGAATAGATACTGCTCGGGCTAGCGGCTTCAATGTTGAACCAGGGAGAGTCGAAGCTGAGGAACATCGACATCGGGTCAACTATCCCAAGCGCCGCATATTAAGACTCCCACTAAATCTCCAGGTACTTTGATCGAGCTGCAGAAGCGACTTTGTTCTTCAACGACTTTCTAAGTCCGTCTCAGGTTCCGCCCCTGTCTAAAGTACTGACCGACCCTCTCATCCTCTCCGTGCATTGCCCCATATTGCATGACGAAGGAAATGACGTTGTTGACCACAACAATCACACTAAGTCATTGTGGTAAACAATCAGCGCGTTGTCTGCCATAGACGATGGACCGCAGCCACTAGAGTGCTGCAAATGGACTGGACTGGACTGCGTGTCGTCGAAACAACGACGCGCGGCGCAAGACTACTGTCAGCCAAAAGAACGTTTCTCCGAATCCGCACTTGTCTGACCACGTTCGTATCTTTAACAGCGGGGTGAGCGATCAACTCATATATGGATAAAAGGGCAGTACCCGGACCACTTGCTTTTTATGTCGTTTGTTCGCTCACTCATCCCTTCTCGACAAATGGTCGACAAGGTATGGCATACTTATCACTCAATCGCAAGCTCTTTTGCTGCTCGGCACTCAAGCTCCTGACTCGGCTACATCTGATGCTGAGGTCCTTAGCACACAATTCTCAAGACGTGATGACGGACAAACTCAATCAAGGCCGAAGCTTCTGCTGACATCGAACACTCAGAGCGCACGAATCGGTTTGGCTACACCAGCTCGATTCCTGCTCAGTGCATGGCGCTTGTGCAGCTAAGATCAGTGCATGTCTGACCAAGTGACATACATATCGGCAAGAGGTCGATCCCTTTTTTCTCTGTGAGGAGTCGTAAAGTGCTCGACAGCACCGCTATCGCCCAGGCAGCTACGCTCTTGATAATGAGCGGTACAGAAACATCACGAACCGCAGTAGCAGCACCGTTGGCGAGGCAGACGGCGCGAGGAGGTAGCTGAAGTAGCAAATCATAGCAGCTAGTCTCAACCGTCAAACGACGTGCCACGATTTCTTGCGCGCCGGCGACTTACTAGTGGCTTCTAGAAGGTCGCACGCAATCGGCTGTTTCGGTACACGCGTGGACCTGGCAGACGAGCGCGCTCCAGAAAGGGGACATAGATATCCATAGCTTGCCGCATAGCTACGTTGCGAGGCGATAGCACCATTTCCACAGGAGAAGATGGCGGTGTTTAGGAGGAGTTTCATGATCATCTATTGACATATTTAATGTGGACAAGAGGTCTGAAAAATCCTGAGCCAGGATATGAGCGCCGGTCGCGGCAGCGGATCGTGGCTGACACCCGCGTAGGGCGGGTGTCCACGGGGCTCTTGAATCAGTAGTTCAAGACAGGCATGAAAAGATGGCGGTGTTTAGCTGTACTGCTTCACTCTAACTTCTTCCCATCGTGTCGTGGAGTCGCAGATTCATCCTATTATATTTGGCATTGCGAAACACGGGCCGAGCTGCTCCTCCCAGACTGTCTGTTTGTGCCCACAAGGCACAGTACGTGTATGTGCATGGTATCGCACACTTCATCCAGCGCTTGGAAACGGTGCGTAGGCGCGAGATCGGCGGCTCCGGATCGACCACGCGCCTCTTTCAACCTCGTGCCAGTTTCACGCACTTTCCACGTTTCTTCACCCGCCAAATCGTGCTGGCCATACATTGTCTTCCCAAACTGGAATCGTGCACATCCGAGCATGTCGACGTGCGGGAACACGCTACCTCAACTGCATGACATCTTGTGAGCAAATCTCGAATCAGAGGCTTGAATGAACCGCCTCGTGCTTTTTCTTCTTCGTTACGTCATTTGAGTGCGAAGGAGGTGTCCGTGTCCTCACCTCTTCGGAGGCTCATCATCGATAAGTCGACACTACTGACGTCAGCTATCGAGCCGATAGCTTCTCCTTTCAATCAACAGAATCTCAGGCTACGTCGAAGGACAGGGACTCGCCGTCAGTCAAAGTCGACTTTCACCGTTCCGTCAAAAGAATGAGACCACCGCAGGCTCTTGGCAGAGTTGTGCACTCAAGTCCGTCAGCGCCAAAGGCCAACACCTCAAACGGACGAGAACGGTGTGTGGGTGGCAAGTCTAGACAGAAGTGAGAACTCTTCTTTTCGCTGCGCGCAACGCGGCAGAAAGCGCCGCGTGCGAACTGGAAGAGGAGCAAAGGCAAAACGCCTTGAGGTGTGCTCGCGTCGGCAGCCTATTGATCGATCGTACTCTCAGTTACCCGAGCGCTTCTGCTGTTCTACATGTGCCTTTGCGTCGTCAACCCGCAAGACGCGCGAGTCCGGTCTTGCGAATCGACGCGCGCAGACCGCGATGCTATTGGGTCGACGTAGTACCCGAGGTATATGCTGCTAGGGATGAGTCAAGACGGTCCATCGGGACTATCCAAAGTGGTGACCGACCTCCCTCTCGGGCGTCCACCCTGTGAACATCCCATGGGTCTTGGTCAACAACCACAAGTATCCATTGTCTGCCTGACATTCCCAAATTTTCACGGTTCAGCTCAAGCCAGTCTTTTTCCCTTCGGGGCAGTCACGTCGGAGGGAATCCTCCCCTTGGGGAGCCGACGTGGTCGAAGATCTGACGCGGGCACGCTGCACTCGCAGTCGCGGGAGTGGGCGTAGGAGACCGACGGGTCGCGCAAGCGGCCCTAGCAGGGGTGTTTTACGGACTGGAGGCGTACCCCGCGCCACGTGTCGCCGCTGCGGCGAGCGCACACTCCACGTCAAGGGGCCGCGCGAGCGGCTGAAGGGGCCACCATCGCAGATGGTTGAGCTCCTCGGAGAGATATACGGCGGGTTGGCGTTCTCCACGCCACGCAGTCACTTCGGTGATCGCACTCCACGTCGGGGGCCGCGCAAGCGGCTGAAGGGAGCCACCATCGCAGATGGTTGAGCTCCGCGGAGAGATATATGGCGGGTTGGCGTTCTCCACGCCACGCAGTCACTTCGGTGATCGCACTCCACGTCGGGGGCCGCGCAAGCGGCTGAAGGGAGCCACCATCGCAGATGGTTGAGCTCCTCGGAGAGATATACGGCGGGTTGGCGTTCTCCAC